TCATTCATCATTCATTCATTCATTCATTCATCCTTTCATTCATTCATTCATTCATGTATTCATCCTTTCATTCATTCATTCATTCATTCATTCATCCTTTCATTCATTCATTCATTCATTCATCCTTTTATTCATTCATTCATTCATTCATTCATACATCCTTTCATTCATTCATTCATTCATTCATCTTTTCATTCATTCATTCATCCATCCATTCATCCTTTCATTCATTCATTCATCATTTCATTCATTCATTCATCCTTTCATTCATTCATTCATTCATCCTTTCATTCATTCATTCATTCATTCATTCATTCATTCATGTATTCATCCTTTCATTCATTCATTCATTCTTTTATTCATTCATTCATTCATACATCCTTTCATTCATTCATTCATTCATCCTTTCATTCATTCATTCATCCTTTCATTCATTCATTCATCCTTTCATTCATTCATTCATCTTTTCATTCATTCATTCATCCTTTCATTCATTCATTCATCTTTTCATTCATTCATTCATTCATTCATCCATCCATTCATCCTTTCATTCATTCATTTCATTCATTCATTCATTTCATTCATTCATTTCATTTATTCATTCATTCATTCATTCATTCATCCATCCTTTCATTCATTTATTCATTCATTCATTCATTCATTCATCCATCCTTTCATTCATTCATTCATTCATTCATTCATTCATCCTTTCATTCATTGATTCATCCTTTCATTCATTCTTTCATTCATTCACAGTGAGGCTGTCCCTTCCCACATATGTCTTTTCTTACTTCAAAGGATTACCTTAATATCAGCTGAAGTCTAAATCCAATAAGTGCCCTAATTAATTTGAGACCCTATTAATCTCCTTATCCGTTTTGCAGATTGTTGATAACATAAATACATCAGAATCATATACTATGTTCACAAGCAAAAAATTTTCAGCTTGCTTTGTATCTCAATAGACCTTTTTTGTACATTGAGAGATCTCATATTATGCATGAAAACGAATGTCAAAACAGGACAAACAAAGGTCATAGCGTTGTAGTGATGTCCAACATCGCGTTGTATTTGACAAACGCAAAAATATTTGTGAAGTATGGGTATCACAACACAATATTCTGTTCTCAAAAATCAGCCTTTTGACTTTGAGCTATAAAAAATGGAAATTCAAGTTCAAAATCAAGTCTTTCGATTTTTGTGGCAGATGATCACGCAATGCATGATATCTCGCAGTGAACGGAAAATAACCTATAGCATACAGGTTTGCTGTTCCTTATATAAACAATAACAATTTATCATCACCACTAAATAATTTGACCAATTTTCTGAAAAATATATATTTATTTAGGGTTTTATGGATCCATTGGTAAAATTTTTACTAAGTTTGGTAGTAACTCCATTAGCATATCTTTTTTCACACCTTTGTAAATTCTGAAATTACCACTATATAAGAATTTTTCAGCTATTTTGCAGCGCTCTCAAAGTTATTTAAATACTTATTTTTAGTCCTCCTTCAGACACACTCGAAAGCGGGGACTTATGTTTTGACCTTTGTGCTTCTGTGCAGGCATGTGTGCATTTGTGCATCCAGACCTGTATCTTAGACATGCACGGACCAATCACAGTCAAACTTCACACATACATCATACATGATATTATACATATGCACATCAATTTGTTTCACGATCTGATTCAAGATGGCCAAATGGAGGCCATTTTTGTGCTAAAAAATCATCAAAATCAAGCATTTCTCGACTGTTTACATATGGATTTTGTTCAAACTTGGTATATACATTGGACATTATATGACCTTAATGCACATTATTTTGTTTTTCAGATAAAATTCAAAATGGCCGACTGGCGTCCATTTTGTTTTAAAGAATGTTGTTCTAGTGTCATAATTCTGACTTGCTTTGACTGATTATGTTCAACTTTTAAATATTCATGATACATCATGTCATAGAAAGACAGATATATTGGTTTGTGGATCCTATTAAAATTGGCCGAATGGTGGTCATTTTTGTGTTAAAAATCATCAAATATCAAGCATTTATAGATGGATTTTGTTCAAACTTGGTACATTAGAGGTTCCTGATGCACGTCATTTTATTTTCCAGATCAGATTCGAAATGGCTGACTGGCGGCCATTTTTACCTTGCCCGTACCATCAAAGATGGAAGGGAAAGGTATATTAAGGGAAAAATTTTGTCCGGCGTTGTTAATAATTGTTATTGTGTGCATAATAACTTTACTAATTCTATTCCAAACTTTATCAAACTTGGTCACCTTATTCATCAGTATAAAGTCTTCCCTGAGTTTGAACAACAGATGTCCTGTATGAAAATATCATGCAAAAATTGAGAAAATCTGATAAAATATTTTGACTGTTTCTACTTGACTGATCACTGGTGATACACATCAAAGGTCACTGATCTCAGTGGAAATATGCATTGTTGTATGTGTTCAATGAAGCAAATGATTTATCTTGTAATAATATCCTTGGTAATGTATCTCAGAATCCCATACTGGGTTTCAAAACCAATTCATGGAGAGATTGCACAGTCTGATACACATTTGCAAACCTACCAATAAAATCTTTACAGAAAACAAGATGTCAGAAAATC